AAAACCTGACTGCCCTCTGACGCATCGGGACGGGACCACGGGCACGCTTTCGCTCTCGTCCGCGGCAACATAGGGCTGCCTAACTTAGACATAAACACAAAGCCCCAATCAACATGCGAACGACTGTGACCAGTTTGATCTAGATCTAACCGGTTTAATGTAACTTTGTAACCCCAGAAATTCATTGCACTAATATCTATTTTAATAAATATAGCCATCTCCTTCATTTTAAGGGTTCCGTACCTCATAGGAAAAAAACGGAACCCTTATAGGATCACTTTGTTGTCCGTCCGTCCGTCTTTTGAGACCCTTTTCTCTAAAACGCGTGAAGGTATCAAGCTGGAATTTTTTGTTAATTTACTAATATTTCTTCCATTCCAAATGGGTTTGTGATAGTATATGGTTTACGGCAATTCAATGGTTTTGAATACGGTGATTCGAACTATCAACCACGTGATCGGAACCTTGTAACTTTATCCATTAGGCAATTGGCGCCCTAAAATTATATGACAAAACAGATATAACATGTAATCATTATACTTCTAGAGTTCGACCTCAGTGTAGTCTGAATTTGCTTTTTTTTCGATTTACACAACATTTGCCTGGTAATGAGGCGAGCTAATGAATTATGCAACAGCTCCATAATATACACGAATGGGCTGCGAAAATATTACAGTAGATATTTTCCTCCTAGTTTCTTTGGGTTCTGTAAAGTTCCGAAAAGGAATGCTAACAACTCAGTCCTTATATTTAAACAAATAACATCTAGTTAGGGAACGTACCCATATTGCTTGACCCGTTTAGGGGGGGGGGGGTTTAGCGGAGTCTTTAAAATACTACGGTCAGTCACAGGAGCGGGGGGAGGGTCAGGTTTTTGGGACGTAGTCGTTAGTGGTTCTTTTTCATAATACATTATTCACTAGTAATTTAAGTCTGCATGCAGTCTTAAAAAAACTTATAAAATAGGTCACGTAGAATGGGTATGGTTCCTTATTTGTAAAAAGACATAAAAATGAATCTTATTATTAGAGCGTATAATGTTGTTTAATTTTATTTAACTACTGTTATAATAAATTTAGGTCGTCGACACTAAATAACGGGTTCAAAAGAGCAAAGCAGCTATTAAAGATTGTTTTTTTTTGTTTCAATAAGACGACGATTAAAACGAAACAAAGGTTATTTAGTTTGAGACATAGCGGTTTATCTATGCCGATGTTTTCCTGCTTTTTAGTGACAGATCATTGGTATAGTTATAGGTCTAGGAATGAATGATGAACAAATGTAATGAATGACTGAATGATTAATCAATCTAGTGAACGAAATAACGTTCCGACACAACATAGACTAAGATAAGTACAGCGAGATGAGATCTGGATGAAATTTGGCATTGATATAGAACATAGTCTGGAAGAACACATAGGCTACTTTTGTTTCTTTAATCCCATGCAGACGGAGTCGCGGGCGTTAGCTAGTAATGCTATAATTTACCGTCAAATCAATTTCCGAATCTGAAAACTTCAGGGCGACTTAACCATTGTAAATCAAAACAAATCTTTCCTGTCAACAATCGTATGACAAGAATAATAACTGTCTTTCTGTATAACAATATACTTTTAAGGTCATTTTTGGTGTAAATTCTTTATCAAAGGTCTCATGTGTCAAACAATAGGCGGGTGTCAAGGGGAAGATCTATATTTCCTGGAAAACTGCTGCGCTATGAATAAACCATAAAGGATAACGCTCATTAAAACAATGAAACGGAAAAAGTAAACGAATTCCTTAACAGATTATTTGTATTCTATAATAAGGTGTAAATACAATATCATTCTGCTCTGTTCAGGTTTATTTAGACTTAATCCAAAATCGTACGAACAAGAGATACAGGAGAGTGAGACCAACGTATACAAGATACGTTTATCTCGCTCTGAAGCCACTGCTGAAGGTTTTTCGTAGAATTCCGGATTGTGTGTACATGAACCTTTATACGTGATTGCCTCGTGTCCAGATTCCAGCTGGGATAAATTCTTACTAATGTTAGAAAGAACATCCGACACTGTGCCGGTTTATCGGCGCAACACTAACCGTATTAAAATGTCGACGTTTCTGTTCGCGCGCCATTCGCGCCCAAGGATTCTAATTAATAATGTCTAAAATTTCTTACTAATATTATAAATGCAAATGTTTCGGTTGATGAATGTTAGAAGGTATCTCCAGAAAGGCTGCATAGGTAAAGTTTGGCATAGATGAAGAAATCTGGAAGAACACATAGGCTACTATTTTTTTTTTAATTCCGTGCCGACAACATCCCCGCGATAGCTCATAATCTACGAAAATATATATGTAAAAGATTTAGTATTTTGATACATATTTTGTGAACCCTAGCAGTTCCAACCTTGAGTTCCGATATTAGGATTAAGATGCGTCGCTATCACGTGCTGACCTTCCTCTCGCGCTGACGCTACTGGCTACTGGCGAAATATCTGCGTCCGCAAACATTGACTTTTACTTAGCTAAGATTATTTGTAATTTAGGTGAATATAACCTAATTTGCCTTAAATCTTTCCCCAATTACTTTGTTAGTTCAACGATTTTACATATCCTCGAGTTTTCGTAACATTAGGCATGTACGGAGTGCAAAAAATAAACGTCTTTTTTGAAAATTTATTGACTTTTCAGTAACTAAGTCACGGTCAATATGACTCGTTTTTTTAATTAATATTAGATGATACGGTAAATGAAATAAATAACCGTAACGTTTTGAGGTTATTCCGAATTATAGCTGACAAGACAAGGGTTTATTTAAGGTAAATTACTCGTATCTTGTAATATATCACGTCAAATTAATTAATTCAATTTAAATGAATGCTTAAAATTAACAAAGTAAAAACGTTTTAATCTATAATTCTGTGAAATTCGTTTCCATTAGTTTTCTTAGACCAAAATCTCCGTTTAAAATATGTTGATATCTCTGTTTTGTCAAAAATAATGACAGGGATGACTATATGTTTTATATAGAGTTTCTGACATCAGAAACCAACGGTAAAAAGTAACTTTTGACTTTTCCATTTATAATTAAACTTCATTATTATTATTTTTTATTCAACGTGAGAATATAATGTACATAAAATAAAGTTTTCCATATACAGCGTGTCCCAAAATCCAAGAGCTGGATTTTTTTAGTACTTTTCGCAGTGTAGTTATCGATCTGGCTATACATTACAGTTTTATCGTTGAATTTTGGGACACGCTGTATAAGCAAACATGATGTACATTTTGTTAGGCTTTTATTTTTCTTGAAGATACGTGGCGCGTCAACACAATAAAGAATTTATTTAAGTCTCATAACAGTTTAACAAGCTGCAATATTTCAATAAACATGACATGTTTTAATAATTAAACAAAGATAAAATGTTTACGCCGCACCGGTGCGGTGGGGGCCAGATTTAAACATTAGCCGCATCAAACCGCCCTATACCAACATAAAGTGCTAAGAATTTTATATCGTCTGTAATATTTTATGAGCAAAAGATTTATTTGTCGACTAGCTGTCGCCCGCGACTACGTCCGCATGGTATTACATACTTAATAATTAACCTATATGTACTTCCAGACTATGTTCTGTATTGTTAGGAAGAAAATCCGACACTGTGCCGGTGTACTGGCACAACACTAGCCTTACTAAAATGTCGATGTTTATGTCCCCTCACTATTCATTCTGACACTGTACTTTGTAACGAAAGCATGTCATTCGCGCTGAAGGATTCTAACTCATAATGTCTAAAAATATGTATGCCAAATTTCATCAATCAGTTCATGCATTCTGGAGATACCTCCAAACAAACATCCATCCATCTAAACATTCGCATTTATAATATTAGTAAGATGTATACGAATATGTCATATATGTATGAAATTAAAAATATTTGCATTCTTATAGTACAAATGAATGTCGGAATAGCATCGCTAAATATAGACGACTCCCACGCTTCTGCTGCTTTAATTGTCCACGATCATTATTTTTAACTTCGAGTACGTGTTATTTGATATGAGACAATCTTCTCGATGACCTACATAAAGTATCAAGAATATGAAATCCTGCTATCAATTAAATCACACGTAAAGGATGAAGAAATATAGTACGGAAATCAGCAGGTCCATCCATACTTCATACTAATATTATAAATGCGAATGTTTAGATGGATCGATGTTTTTTTCAAGGTATCTCTAGAACATCTCATAAGATCTTGTTGTAATCTGGCACAGATGTAGTACATAGTCTGGAAGAAAACATAGTCTAAATGAGTTTAATTTTTTTTTAATTCCACGAGGACAGAGTCGCGGGCGACAGTTAGTACAAAATCATCCTTTTCAACTATTATAACTTTAATAATAATAATTTGATTCTTGGTGTTCCCTTTACTAGCTACAAACAGATCTTTCTATTATATTAGTATATAGATACATTATTTAAATATCTTGCCCTTACAAAGAATGCAGACTATCGGAATATCTCAACAAACATTTGCCATTTACTTACGTAGCCTCCTATATCTTAGCGTAGCTTTATCTTTGTCAAACAGCTATGAGATTATGGTAAAATTGTGCATACATCTCAAGGGTATATACTGTTAATTTTGGATTTAGCTGCTGTTTGTTTGTCTTAATATTTCTTTTATCTAAATGTACCAATTAAACATTGCCATTTTCTGTTGCAATGCTGAAAAAAGATCGTAAAATCTAAGCTCTGAATTAAATATGACGCCTACTTTTTTTATCTTGCAATATTGTCAATAATATTTTCTTATTATTATTTTGCAGGCGCTGTTTTACTTACTACTAATGAATATTTTCTAATGTAAAACACTATTGTATAATAGATTAAGGGACGTCGCAAATCTTTGTTTTAATACTTTTTTTGCCTTTGCGTCATTATTAATATTTCGAAGCGAAGGAATTCGGAATGATTTTGTTCATTTTCTAATTTAAGAAATTATTTTCAGATGTATGGTCGCTACCAACGCGACCTCAGCGAAGCGGCCAGAGAAGAAGCGAGAAGATTAAGGCGATTAAGAAAAAGAAGACGAAAAGACGACAAATTGCGGCAGAAAGAACTGGAAGCGACAGGAAAGCACAGGCCCAGAGGAAAGGTGTTTAAAGTTTTAGGTTAGTATCACTCCGAAGTTTATATAAGTTTTTAATATTTGTATTTGATATTTTATATTGTGAAATTATTGTTTATTTTATAGCGCGTAAATTTTGAAGTAGAGTTGTAACTCGCAATTGTAGTTTATATAATAACTCCATGAGTTTATAAAAAAATATGAAAAAGAAAGCTTATTGTTAAAACATTTTTTCCACTAAACTTCTAACCGCACGATACTAGTGCTCAGTGGAAAAGTGGTCTAACCCTTAAGTGAACGAGTGTCAGACACCCACGACTTTACATGGTCCCATGGTGAAAAATCAATGATATGAAGTTCGTCGCAGGTTACATATGGAGGCACACATTTGCGCGGCTCGGAGAAGACTGGGTCTTCCTCGCGCTTCTGGGCATCATTATGGCGGTCCTCAATTTCGCCATGGACAGGGGCATCGCGGTCTGCAATAATGGTCAGTAGAATGTACTCATACAGACGTGCAAGTGACCACCTGAATTCGCCGAAATGGCGAAGCTACCGCTACCTGTAGCCATCTATAATTGCAGATGCGTTGCCAATTTTTAATCGACGGAGGAGGAAACGCATAGAAAGATAATATTACCCCTTACTATGCTCCTCTATCAAATCCACTTCCTTCCTTTCAGGAAAAGGATGGGATGGGTAAGATGACTAAAATTAAAACTCTAGAACGCACACTCATCAAACGAAACACGGAATTACTTCCTCTTCACGCCTGTCTTCTGTGTGTGTCATCGTTGGTCAAAAATAATGACATAACCGAATCGACAACGGCGAAAACATTTCCTACCATTAAGTCGGCAATAATCAAATGAATAATACTTTTTATTATTTTTAATTGCAACGTTATACTTTTTCATGCTGCTTTACTTGCGAAGAGGTAATGTATTTTTAGCCTAATATTGATATGTGGAGTCTTTGACATTATATACTCTTCCAATTTTGAATCAATAATCTGCCTACAACTTTTGTTAAAGACAATGTCATGTTTATATGTTTGTAGTCATGGCTAACTCAACTAAAAAAGACCCGCAAATCAGGTCACGGTAAAATGTGAAGCAGATCAGTAAATCGGGTCATAGATTAGCTCAATTTGTACATACATAGCGTAATGATTTGCGTTTCGATCTTTGAACTGCGAATCACCAGATAGCTCGCGGCTCACTGGCACCAATATAAGGTACCTAATGGTTAAGGGCACGGTTTCCCGATACATTGTCGAGAGTTCGAATCCCGACGTTCGTCTATTGTCGTAAGCCAATATCCTAGCACAAGCATAGAGCTTAGTTGGAATGATACAAGCCATTTGAAAAAAAGTTACGAGTCGTCGAAATCGTTGAACCGCAATTCAACGGTTCAAGTCTGTGTGACTTGAACCATTGGATCGGTTCACAGCCAATTTACACTATATGTTTGTGTTTCCAGCCCGTATGTGGATGTATAGCGAATTAGCAACGTCTACGTTCAGTCAGTACGTAGCGTGGGTATCTCTGCCAGTCTGTCTGATCCTCTTCGCAGCAGGCTTCGTGCATATCGTCGCAGCTCAAAGCATCGGTCAGTAACTTAATATCAACATATTTACTATTAAAACAAGAATGTAAACTTTGTTTTTGTATTATTTGAGTAGTGGAAAAAATAAATAATCCTAGATAGACCAAATAATGGTCTAAGGACCGTAAACTATAGGACTGTCAAGTGCCCACAGCAAACAGCGGTTCGTGTATGGCTCGTCTACTGTTGATCGTTTCTCGATACCGACGTGAAGCCGTCCGTGTATGTCAGTCCAAACTAACAAGGCGTTAATTAAACTTTAACTTTTGAGTAGTGTAATGTAAGAATTATGGACATATATTTAAAGTATTTTGTTGTGTGTTTATTTCAGGATCTGGTATCCCAGAGATGAAGACCATCCTCCGAGGAGTTCATCTCAAGGAGTACTTGACCTTCAGAGCTCTCATCTCCAAAGTTATTGGACTCACAGCCACCCTCGGATCCGGTCTGCCGCTGGGTAAAGAGGTAAAGAAAGACTAATTACCAAAACATTTCAAATTGTATAAATATTTAAACACTAGTTGTTGCCTGCGACTTTGTCTGCGCGGAATTAAAAAAAAAACTTAATTAGTAACCTATATGGTGTTCTAGACTATAGTCTACATGTATGGCAGTTTCAGCTAAATCCATGCAGCCGTTCTGAAGATACGTTCACACAAACATCCATACATCCAAACATTTGCATTTTATAATATTAACAAAAATGTAACGACGAGGATGGGATTCGAACCCACGCGTGCAGAGCACATTGGATTAGCAGTCCAACGCCTTAACCACTCGGCCACCTCGTCTTGTACTCACCTCACCAAACATACGTACTGCTTGCATCAATACAATACTCGGAACAGACAAATATCAATTATTCTGTTTTATGCAAATAACACTTCTATTAGAATATATTTCCTTTAATTAAATATACGTAATTCATTTACGAAGTATCTTGATAAGTTTTCATTTTATTTTATAACTTAATAATATTTTCTTATTAGTTATTGTGTAAATTTACATATTATTTTAGAAATTATTCTAATTACCGCTATAATGGCGTTGCAACGCAAATTTTTAAGGATCTATTCGACCTCCTTGGTACTACTTCTATAGTTTGTAATAATCTCGAACTGGCCATCAAGAATATTGAACATTTAATTCGTTAATAAAAAGAAAGTGTTCCGCGGGAAACGGAGCTAACAGAACGATATAAAAGATTAGCTGTTGCTGCGACTCCGTCTGCGGAATTTTAAAAAAAAACTGGATTAGTAGCCTATGTCTTTTTCCAGACTATGTTCTACGTCTGTGCCAAATTTCAGCTAGATCTATGCAGCCGTTCTGGAAATACCTACTAAAACATCCATCCATCTATCTATACTTTCGCATTTATAATATTAATAAGATTAGAATTTTCGATGAAATTAAATATTATTTTAAAATCTATAAATAATTTTGTTAAATTAACTATACACCGTAATCAACATTTATCAGTAGCAATATAGCGGTTTCCGGTAATAACTAGGATAACAATTGCCTAGTTTTATTCTTTAGGGTCCATCAGTTCACATCGCGTCAATGGTGGCAACACTATTATCAAAGTTGGTGACAAAGTTCCAAGGCATCTACAGCAATGAGTCCCGCACTTCAGACATGTTGGCAGCAGCGTGCGCTGTCGGCGTGGCTTCCTGCTTCGCCGCACCTGTTGGAGGTTTGTCTCTCTCTTATTCGTACAGAATGAATGAGACGGCAATATGTGATTCGATTGAAACCACTGATCTTTATTAATGGATAGGCGATTGCTTGGAAATGACAGCTTTTCGTTCCGATTTAAACTAGCCTGTTGATGTTTAATATTTATGATATGATAATTAGTTATGCCTATACTGTCGTCTGCGACATCGTCCGTATGGAATAAAAAAAAACATAATTAGTTCGACATGTTCGTCCAGATTATGTTCTATATGTATGCCAAATTTCATAGAAATCCGTTCATCCGTTTTGAAGATACCTTCAAACAAACATACAGTCATGCATCCATCTAAACATTCGCATTTATAATATTTGTAAGATTGTTAGTGCGAAACATCGCTGCTACAAATCGCTACCATCAGCGCTAAAATGGCAGAAATCAAATAGGCACAAAATATTACATCTTATAGCCAGTCCATATAGAAGTCAGTAGTTGAAACAAATGTTTGTGTATCCAGGTGTACTGTTCTCCATAGAAGTAACGACAACTTATTTTGCTGTTCGGAATTACTGGCGAGGATTCTTTGCTGCTTGCTGCAGTGCTATTGTGAGTTATCTACTACTAGTTATCGCCCGCGACTCCGTCCACGCGATGTTAAAAAAAACTTAGTAGCCTATGTGTTCTTTTAGATTATGTTCTAAATCTATACCAAATTTCACGATATATAGCCATTCTGGTTATACCTTATAACATCAATACATCCAAATATTCCCATTTATAATTAAGATTTAAAAAAAAATATATTTTTTTCTTTATCAAATACATTATTTGAACGTCCATTCATAAAAATCGATATCTATTTTGTTGAAATCTAACCTGTTTTTGGATCGTAATAGTTATCAAATACCTATTGTATTATTTAACGTGGGTTTCCGAGATCTAAATCCTCGTTTAAAACATTTTTACCAAATGTCAAAGATAATAACAGGGATAACGATATGGTTGATATAAAAATTTGGTCTCAGAAATCAACGGTTAGACAGCTATGGATCGGTTATTGGTTTCCTGATAGTATTGTTGTACGTGATACGCAGATGTTCCGGCTGCTGTCAGTATGGTCGGGCGCGCTGCCCACAGTGAAGCCTCTGTTCCCCACAAACCTCCCCCAGGACTTCCCCTTCGACCCTCAGGAGTTTGCAGTCTTCGTACTATTGGGGTGAGTGTCACCATTCACAAAGACAGAGACCAGATTTTTATCACAAATAAAATTGAACTTTATACATTTGAGATAAGGTTTAATTTACTTTGCAAATCTTTTATTAACCCTTAATTCGACGAAATGTTTTGTAGCAAAAAAACCGTTTTTTTCTAGTAAAGTCATACTTACGTTATTTTCTCTAAACTAGTTCAGTCGTTTTTTTTATTAGTTGTTCGTCACACTGGACACCATCGTATTAAGGGTTAAAAGCCTAAAAAAGTAAATTTAAAACTTTTTTTAATCGTCTAAAACAGTGGTTCCCAAACTTATTTTGTCTACTGCCCACTTTGAGAATAAATATTTTTTTAACGCCCCCATATTTTCACATATTTAAAAACCACTATAACTTCAAATTAAATTAATTATAGTGACCTATATATGTATATTAACGGACAATTCTAAAGAAAACTTTTACTATAACCCGCAACTTGAGTCCTGCAGCGCTCACAAGGGGGCGTTGTCCCACACTATGGGAAAGACTGATATAAACATTCGCATTTATATTAGTAAAATATAAAATATATTCTGTTGTTTTTATACAAGTGTTTAGGAATACAGTAAGTTTGCAATTGGTAATAATAATCGTATGTTTTTGTATGTACATGTATGGGTTATATCGCAGCATAGTGTGCGGGCTGCTGTCCGCGCTGTGGGTGTTCCTGCACCGACAGTACGTGCTCTTCATGAGGAACACCAAGACCCTCAGCAACTTCCTGCAAAAGAAGTATGTTAATTATGTCACACTAGATGTTGTCCGCGACTCCGTCTGTGCGGAATTAAAAAAGAACTTAGTAGTCTATATGTTCTTCCAGACTATGTTCTACACCTATGCCAAATTTCATCAAGATTTATGCAACCCTTCTGGAAATACCCAATAGCCTAATGGTTTAAGGTGCGGATTCCCGATCACGAGGTTTTGGGTTCGAATCCCGACATAAGACTATTGTCGTAAACAATTTAGCACAAGCCTAGAGGCTTAGTTGGAATGGTAAAAGAAATATTAATAATTTGCTAATATTTTTTCGTAAAAAAAACCTTCAAGTATCCATATATCCATCCATAAGATTTGCGTAGTTTACAATTAGCCTAGGTATATTAGAAAGGAGATAAACGTTGTGTTGCAGCCGCTTCATCTACCCTGGCGTGATGACGGTGGCGGTGATGTCGGTGCTGTTCCCGCCCGGTATCGGCAGGTTCATGGCTGCCGACCTCGGCAACCAGGAACAGGTTCATACATACATACATACACACTGTCTCACAATTGAATATATATCAAATAAATTCCAGCTTGATACTTTCACGCGTTTTTGAGATAAAGAGTCTTGACAGACGGACGGACAAAGTAATCCTATAAGGTATCCGTTTTTTTTCCTATGAGGTACGGAACCCTAAAAAGAACAGATTCTTACATAACACTATTTACTTTTTAATTATATTTAGCGAATAAATTCCAATTTAATTTATAAATGCACACATTTAATGTATTTTACATTTTGGTCCTTCGTATGTAAGACAAAGTGAACCTTAGAAACCCGACTTAAGGGAGACAAAACTACAATACAACATGATAAAGATTTCTGCCGAACACAATCGATTGTAATTTGTCAAGATTTTTGTGAGAAAAGTTGACGTATATTCAAGATGGCGGAGCAAAGCAACGAATAGAAGACGCGAGTCGTTATAAACTCCTTATGAACACTTAGGGAAACACTTAACGACTAAGCGTGGTCTTCTACAGGTGCTGTCCCTGATGGCCAACTTCACATGGGCAGACGAGCTGTCAGCGGAGCAGGCGGCGGTGGTCTCCCACTGGCAGACTCCTGAGGTCGACCTCTTCGGATGTCTCTGTATATACTTTGTGTCCATTGTAAGTCTTATTTATGTATTATACAAATATTTGATTTGGCACGTCCACAATATCACTACTCTACTGTATGACGTGCCAACTTAGGTAACATTTAATAAGTAAGTGTTTTATTTATATTTACACAGCTGATTGCATTATTTCAAGTTTATATTTAATCAGTTCGAAGGAAAAACAATTTAAATAAATAAAATTATAGAAAAATCATCTTTAAAGCAATTTGTACCTTATCACATGTTTATAAAGTTGAATTTTGAATAATGACATCACATATCTAAGTTTCCTGGTATACAAATATGTTTAAAATGGAACAATGGTTTTCATTAAATTATTCAAACTTTCGTGAGATATTATACTAAACTGATATATAAACACGGCTAAACACTTACGTACATTCGTCCGGTGGCGGCACCGACTAGTTTCGAGCCCATCGGTGGCCCTTCATCAGGATGAGAGGACGAATGTACGTGAGTGTTTAGCCGTGTTTATATATCAGTTTACTGGTTTCCAGTTCTTCCTGAGCATGGTGTCGTGCACGTTGCCCGTCCCGGCGGGCATATTCGTGCCGGCATTCAAGATGGGCGCGGCACTGGGCAGACTCACCGGAGAGATCATGCACTACTTCTGTCCACTCGGCGTCGCGTACGGCGGACATATACAGAAGATATTACCTGGTAACATTCTTATATACTTAAACAATTCAGTTCATTGCCCTCTTAAATCTGCTGCGACTAGCTGTCGCCCGCGTCTCCGTCTGCGTGGATATATAAAAAACCTAATTAGTGTAGCCTATGTGTTCTTTCAGACTATATCCTATACGTATGCCAAAATCGAGATCCGTTCAGCTGTTCTGTAGATATCTTCAAACACCTATCCATCCATCCACATCACATCCATCTTAACATTCGCATTTATAATATTAGTAAGTTAAATAAAATGCAGCTCTGCAAGGCATGAATTCGAAAAAAAAATGAATAAATAGTATCCTATGTCCGTCTCCTGGCCTTCAGCTACCTCCTCAACAATTTTCATTCATATCGGTAAAGCCGTTCTTGAGTTATAAATAGTGTAACTAACACGACTTTCTTTTTATCATTTATGTTTTTTTCGTAAGTATCAATATCCCAAATGGGTAGCAAATATACGTCCTCGACTGTGTAACCACAGTGGGAAAG